GGCAGTGGCCCCTTAGAGCATCACCTAACGTGATCTATATGGATTGCAGCTTTTAAGTTTCATAGGTTCTAGAATTACAAATTAGCTGATTTTAATCAAAACATGTGAAATGTTATCCTGGCTGGATATAAAGGCTGACTGTGCTGGATCCTCTGGGTTTGTTTTGTTTACTTTGGCTGCAGGCACACTCAGCGGTTTGGGAGATAGTTGTTCTTCTACAGTATAACAGATGTTTGTCTGAAAGGGTGAGGAAGAAACAAAAACAACATTGTGTGAAGGAGAAAAATTACACAATTTCAAACTAATGCTTTGGTATTAAGCACTGGCGTTAACCTTCGTGTAGAGTTTCTCTTTTTTAAATCACGGGTGGCTGCTTAAGGTTAGAAACCTCAAGATTTCAGCTGACTTAAAAATTAAAGGCAGGTAGAAATGGCATTTTGAACGGATGTGATTTCTGGTCGAGAGCAAGATAGCTGATGGCAGAACCTTTCACAAAACACAGGCCACCTTTCAATGTAAACTGCTGTATATGCTATGCATTTTTAGTAGGACAGTTGGCTGTTACCATCTGAGAAGAGGAAAGAGAGAGGGAGAAGAAAAGAAGTGGTTTAAATTTTGACGGGTGAAGAAAGTTAAAATCCTGTGGCAATCCTTTACTCTCTTTACTGATGAATTAAGATGTCTAGTTGTTCTTCCTAAACCCAAAGAATACAATAAGGTAACAAATTCGTTACACTGTGCAAAATGTTTGCAGCAAAAGGACAGAGGGAGCACAATGTGCCCTTGTGTAGGTTCATATCTGTAATGTTCAAACAGGCTGACTGTTTCCCTTAATCTGAACTGCTTTCATCTGGACCAGTGTAAAATAAGCTCTGGTAAGTAATCACAGCAGAGCAGAAAGAAAGGAATGTATACAGCAATAGACAGCCTAAGCTGTAAAAACTGTAACCCGAGTATCAGCAGCAGATCAGATATCAAGGCTTTAAGGTAGGGGAAATGAAAGAGATGAAGGGGAGGAAAAGACGAGAGAGGGAATGGAAAAGTCAGTTTGGAAAGTGAAGGAGAAGTAGGAGGGCCCCCTCAGGGAAATTTGGCTCAGGGATTAGGGAATTTTATCATGGTGTACAGTGACCTACTCAGGTTTCAGCCCACGTTGGATCGAATTGCCTCCCTTTGCTAGCAGAAAGAAAAAAGGACTGGTGTATATGTGATTTTTTTTTTTTTTTCTTTTTCCTCTCTCCCCTCCTTCGGATAATAAAAAAGCCATTGGTACAAGTATCTATTTTAAGTACAGCAAATGCAGGGCACTATGAATGAGCAATAAAATTACCTCATCACAGAGGCTTCCTTCAAGATTCACTCTTTGATACGGCCAGATATTTACTCGAGAAGGTTCACAACACCTGACTGGCTTGGTTTGGTCCCTTCCAACAGCAGTGTCACAGCTCGGTTTTGACATGACTGGATGGATATTCAGGTCGCTTGCTCTCTCCTTATGCCAGATATTAAATTACATTTTTGTTATCGCTAACCTAATGTACATGGTGGTTATAACAAATTTTAATTTGATACAATGTTGTGTGCAAGAAGTACATGTCTGCGCGGTTTTCTGATATTGCATTTCAATGAAAACTATCTTGAGGAGGAACTGTTTTGTTTCGCTCTGACCTTCACAGCCTCTGTTTTCTTCTAGTTATTTTTTTCCTTTTGTCCCCCATCCTCCTTCAGACGGTAGTTTCCATTTTTATTTCCCGAGGTAGTGTTGTTCACCTCATGCTCTGGAAGAGAGCAGATAGTTACTCTGAAATTCAGTTCGGTGCCATTTCTCACTCGCTGGTGAATAACGCTTAATAGATCCAAAGCTACTGTAATCAGGGAGCCCAGTCCTGTTTTAAGACCAAAATATTTTTTTACAGTTTCATTGATGAAAGCACTCATTACAGCGTGGTGATGGCTTCCCCATCCATCTACCCCTCTCCAGCTGATTTTCGTTTGCTATCCTGCTGCTAGGTAGCAGTGCTGCTCCGGAGGAACAGCTAGGTGCTCCGCAGTGTTGTGAAATGAAGTTGCGTCCAATACTGGGTTGCACTGGAAGTTATCCTGAACAAACCAGACAACGTGTCCACGTGTCTCTGTCAGTTGAAAGGCGAGCAGTTAATTTGCGCTGTAATTTCACAGGGCTGCTCCATGTGCCTGAGGAGTTTACCATCTATAAATATTCTCAATAACTAATTTGTATCTAAAATTGGGCTTCGTTCCTGATGCCTAGAGCTTAAGACAGCCCCATCTGTTACAGTTTAATAGTAAACTCATCAGAAGATCTTTCAGTTTAGTGTTTTAATATTCCCCGTTTGGCATTTAGAAGTACTACTGTCAGAAGGAGGGAAGCAGTGAAGCAGGCGTAGCAGCCCTGCGCCTGGAGCGAGCCAGATCCCTCGGAGTGCTCTGAAGAGTCCAAGGAAACTCCTCCCTTCTCTCCTGAAAAGCAAAAAATATCCTTGGGAAAGTGTAGAAGCAGGGAGGCTTTATCAGTTGTACTATTGCAGGAGATCGATGTGGAGGGCTTGTTTTGCTGCCTGCGTGGAAGGAATTCTGTGGGATAAGTGCAAAGGGAGTTGTGCTGTCTGTACTGGGAGCCTCACCTGCCTGTGCGCCACAGAAACAGCACTTCCCCAAACAAAGTTTGAATTGCAGAACCAAATGTGTATGTTGGAGCACAAAGGAAATCAAAGCATCAAGACATTTTGCTTTCTTATAGCGTAAAATTCAATATGGTGACGACATACATAAGCAAAGAAAGTGAGGGCGGTAAAAAAGAAATCCAAGTTCATATTGTGACCACAGAAACCTTTTTATTTCCTTGGTGTAAGTGAAAAGTGAATTTGTGGGGCTTTGCACTGAGTGGGTTCTGCAGGCAAGGAAATGGAATGGAGCCACTGTGCTTCCTCCCAGATCTGAAATAAACATTCAGCAGTAAAACCTAGAAGAAAATGAGTCTGACAGACTCATTCTCCCCTGCGTTTCCTGCCTCCGTGTTTGCCAGGCCTCGTTTGCTGAAGCCAGGCCTTGCCCCCTGTGAATAATGTTCGTAGAGAAGGGAAGGCAAGAGGTCTAAGATGGAAAGAGAAGCATGGCTCAGCTTCAGAATGTATTAATTAGCAAAGATTTGGGAAAATGATGCATTACAATGTAAAAAAAAATCAAGCTGTAGGTGTCCTGTTACGATGAAATGAATCCTAAAGAGGGAATGAATGTGATATTTTAGCATATAAGCTAGTCTCACAAAGGAGAGAAACCAGAGTCTGGCGAGTCAACACCCTCTTCTTCATCTTTCCTATGAATAGGAAACAAATTCAAGTCAAAATACCAATGAGCATAATAGTTAGGTAGTTATCCTGGCTCTTCCAGGAGGAAGGCTATTTCTGTACATCACAAGAATAGAGAAATCACACAGTTAAAACATGCAAATTACGCATTGCCCTGCAGTGGTGATAAGTGGTTTGGGACTTAGCAGGGGGCAAAAGAAGAATTGCTGTCTATTAGGAAAGAAGGGCGTTGGCGGTGTTGTGTGACACTGACCACTGGAGCGTTTTTGGGCCAGTTTCTTTGGCAGGGATGCACTGGTTGTGCTGCAGCCGCAGTGAATGCCTGGCAGTTAGGCAGCTGCGATGGTGCACTGTCAGCTAGAGGAGCACGAGAGATTTGGCTCTGGGAGGATGTTCACTGACTGCCTGGGTGCACTGGCAGCTGAAGAGGTTGTCGGTGTTTCCCCCACAGCCTTGGGAGTCAGGCTGCTCGGCGCATGCGCAAGAGGCTGAGTGTGGCATGGTGGTGTGAGCACAGAAGCATATGGGGCAGGATTTTGGTGCTTGTCTTCTCAGTTCTGGTGTTGGCCCACTCTGAACAGGACAGAGGCTTGTTCTCTTTGTTTCCCTGCAGGGGACTGAGCATTGCCTCCTGGGCAGGGCAAAGCTAGTTTCTGTGCTGTGATTTTGCCATGGAATCCATGGATCCTGCAAGGCTCCCATTGGGTTCAGTGGGATTTGTATTGGGCCAAAGGGTCCCAGCTTAGCAGCGTGGTTGCTGACTTTGATTTTATTGATGATGGACAGGGCTGTGGGGTTGGGGTGGCAGCCTTCAACCTGCAGACCCTCCACATTCTTTTTGGGAATGAGCTTGAAAGTAGGCATGGAAGAGCTCAGTGCCTCTGCTGTCCTATTCCTTCAAAAGCTTGGAATTGCAGCTACTTGCACATCCTTCACCTGGTCATCCACACATCTCCTTCTCCCTGGGCTTTGGCAGGTCTGTCATCTCTCAGTTCAGTTAGTTCCTGTCTAGGCTGCTTCATCAGTGCCTCTTTTACTCTCATGCTTCAACCTCAGGTTGATCCCCCATTCTTGCTTTTCTGAAGCACTGTTTTTACAGTCGATCACCCTTCCTTTCACTAACCCTTTTGTACATCTTCCAGTGAGGTTCTGCTGTGTGTGTACAGGTTGTGTTCCCTTAACTTCGTCAAGAACTGGGCTTTCTTACCCTCCTCTGCCCCCTCCTTTTTTTTCCTGCATTCACACAGAGAAAATTAGTCTTGTCTCATCTCATCATTTGTATTTTGACTCTTGCCACCACACTGGTCTTTACAAATCCCATCTTGTTACTGCATCTTGAACCCACATAGATTGGGACTACCATTGCAATGGAATGAATGGAAACAATGAAATAAGAATAGTGGTCATCTTTAGGGCAGCAGCTTCAGCGAGGATATGGGGAGGGACTTTATAAGAGCAAGTAGTGATAGGACAAGGGGTAATGGCTTTAAACTGAAAGATAAGATACTGGGAAGAAGTTCTTCCCTGTGAGGGTGGTGAGGCACTGGCACAGGTTGCCCAGAGAAGCTGTGGATGCCCCATCCCCTGGCAGTGTTCAAAACCAGGTTGGATGGGGCTTTGAGCAACCTGGTCTAGTGGAAGGTGTCCCTGCCCATGGCAGGGGGTTGAACCTAAATGAGCTTTGAGGTCCCTTCCAATCCAAACTGTTCTATGATTCTATGACATGACCTGTGTGACCATCAACTTGACTGACAGGATATTAAATGTTGCTGCAAATGGGTGCTATAGTCAGGAGTCTGAAGGAAGATGCTGTACTTCTGCGGATGCCTATCTATGTGAGAGAGTTAGTATTGAAGAAAACATCTCTTAGCTTTGACTACCAGTTTGGTAAGGATGGGATCATCCTCTTGGTTTGATATGCATAAAGTACTGTGTAAAGAAGCTGGGGCTGTCAGCCACAAAGAGAATGGTTTAAGAGTGATCATCACTGTAATAGGTAAGATAAATTCTGAAAGAGTAGCTTAATTTTTTTTTTCTTTGTCCATCCTTCTTGAGAAATCACAGTGTTAAAAAGGGGCTCACTTTTGTGAGGGCAATATGCAGCCTCGTTGTACTGTGGTTGAATTTAGTAGGAAATACCCCAGTGATATATATATATATATATATAATTTTTTTTTAAGAGTCAAGTTTCTATGATGGGTAATTTCAAAATAATTTGTATTTTTGTGATGATGAGTGTTCATTTTTGTGTGTCACCTGTCGTGGGTAGAAAATATGAGACTTGAAAAGTACTTAAACTTTGTGCCGTTACAAACCAAATCTGGTCACTTTGACTAGATTCTGAAGAGACATACACGTGTATGAATTGCAGGAAAAACATACATATAGCCTTGTTTACATGTTCTTTGACAAGTAATTAGAAATTACTCATTGCCTGAGTTGAACAGCAGTGCAAATAAAACACAGAGCATCCACAGGAGGCAAATTTAGAGCTACTCAATTTGGTTCCATGGGGTTTAAGTCAGGAAGACTTTGTCAGTTCGTCTCTGCCTTGGTGGATTAGTCTCTAGGGCTGTGTCTCCATAGCTGAAATTTAGCAAAGGAAGGGAGGCTGGCAGAGCTTGCCTTTTTGCCTCCATAGACCCATCCAGGTCATTCTGGGTGAGCTGCAGTGGTGAAGTTTCACTCCCCATCTCCAGGTCATTTTGTTGTTGGATTCTCAGGAGTTAAGAGACAGGTTCTGTGCTGAGAGAGGTTTTCTAAAAAGCTAAAAAACAACAAAAAAATTTAGAAAAATCTCATGTTTTTGCTGATATTTAAAACCCAGCACTGCATCAAATGAGGGTGTAAATACATATATTAGAAATGGGTGTGTGTGATAGCCACATTACACTGTATTGTACTCATTGCAAACTCTAGTAGTGACATAGTTCAGACGTAATGGGCTGTCGTACTTAAAATGCTTACAGTAGAGGTGGAGGTGGAACAATGCAATGTTTTCTGGTGATTCAGGGCAGCACAGGACAGCCATGGAATTGAGATTTCCAGCAGGAGGTCAAGTGAAAATGAAAGGGGGGAAAAAACAAAAGGAAATTGATGCTCCACAGGTCTACTGGGGGGTTTTGTTTTGGTTTTTCTTTTCCTGAAATGTGTGTTTGTGGCACAATTGCACAAATGATACTCCTGGAAGAGTACAAATTGCTTGTGTTTATTGCTTATAGCTGTTTTACAGCGCTCCTTGAGTGACAGGAACACCTATGCAATCTGGTGTGATGAATGAGCCAGGAGCAGTGCAGGGCTCTGATGTTCTGGGGCAGAGCGTCTGCTGTAGCTTTGAATTCGGAAGCAATTATCATCTGATTAATTTTATTTATTTATTTAAATGACTGGAGAATTGCTGTGTTCTATCATTACACTTGCTCCCACTCAAAATTAAGCTAGAGCAGCTACTAAACAAAATCTAGCAATGTGCAAATTTGACATGTACCATTTGTTTTGAATTGGTGTCATATTCTCCTTATCCGTTTGCTGGTAGCCAGAGTCCCGGGAGATGGTGCATATCAGCAGCATTATTTTAGATGTCAAGATCTTAAAGGGAAATTAAATTTGGAATTTATTTTTAACAAATAATTGTAAAAAGCCACGGAGACCAAATAGAAAGGCTTTGTGTGTGGCTTTTTCATTTCATTTAACAGCTGTCATACTACTTTAAGCTGATCTTTGCCATTGCAATAATTCATTAGCTGGTTTCCTTTGGTAGTTTCCTAAATCCGTAAGCTGCAGAGCTCCACAGCACTATTTGGTTTCTGAAAGCTCTGTTGCCTGGCTGCAGATTTCTTCACTTACTCCGCTAAATCTCTTGGCCCAGTAATGAGCATTTTCTGCAGAAATATTTTTGCCACGTGACCTAGAGGATGTGTTTTTAATAGAATTTCAGAGTTATGACAGTCATGTTCCGTATTTTGCATTTCCATGCAAACATAAAACGTAACCGCACGGCTGCTTGGAAATTGGTTGAAAATAAATACGGCAAAACTGAGAAAGGTTTCCTTAAACAAATATAAGAGATGTTTGTATGAAACGTTATGGTAAAACGCTTTCATGGTGAAGAGTTTTTAAGTGGTTTGACTATGTAAGGGCTTATAACCGAGGAAAAATGTCTTCACTGTGATTTTATTTGATTTGGTTCATGGGCATCTCAAGGAACTGTAATTGTGTCAGTGACCTGCTCCAGCTGAAAAGATTGTAGCACAGTAAGATTGATTAACTGCTGGCTGAAAAAATCCCTTCTTTTCTGTTATTCTCTTGCTGCAGTCTTAAATATTTTATGGCAACATAGACAAGTTTGTATGACGAATGTATGTTAAAATATTTCTGACATTGAATACCAGAGCGAAAGTCATAAATAACTCTCCTTTTCATTTTTTTTTAAATTACAGACATATGAGTCTCTGTCATAATTACATGTGGCAGTCAGAGATTTAAATGCATTACACTTTGCGCGCTTGACTTATGAAATGAACATTAGTCTTTGAGGAGGTGGGCCAAACCTGACACTTGCTCGTGTAGCACAGATGCGGTTCGATTTATGCAGTCCTCCATTCTTTCCAAATGGTTATTGATTACATAAATAAGTAGGTAATTTTTCTCTTTCAGAACTTTGCAGAAAACACTATGAATGAGCTCCTTGGCTGGTATGGTTACGATAAGGTTGAATTGAAAGATGGAGAAGATATTGAATTCAGGAACTACTCAGCAGATGGGGAAAGCCGCCAGCACATTTCTGTTCTTAAAGGTAATGCGACTTCATGTTTCTGTGTTCATGCAAAAAAGGATTAATATCTCAACCTGTTGGGATTGGCATGAGTTGGGGCGCGTGTTCTGCTGCTTGCTTTGTGGTTGGTTTACATAAAAATATCACAGAGTGCCTTCTGGTCTGAGGAAGCCAATAGGATATGAGGAAAATCCCTTAAAATTACTGTCAGTAGGCTTACTAATATACCTTCACAAATAATACCTTTTGTGAGTCAGTTGAAAGTCCTGTACCTGTGGTATTAATAAACTGCTCAGCTGGAAAAGTGGGAGCACTTTCTTAGGAGTGTGGCTTTAAGGAACCCTGTTGTTTTCAAAACTGAAGCTTTTTGGCTAAGCCTTTTTAAAATTCTGGAAGATTTTGAGCTGGAATATTCACAACACATGTAGGAATGAGAGTGAACATTCACAAAAGGGTCCTCACCCATGCTTATACTATAGTGTCTTCTGCGAGTGCTGTAGAAGTTCTCCAGGGGTGGGATTTGTTTGGAACAATGCTGGATCTTCATGGTTCAAAATGTAAAGGATGGGATCCAGTCTGTTTGTTAAGCCCTTCTGTTGCTGCCTTCTGACTCTTCAGTCACAGGGAATGGGTAGGGACTTGTAATTAGAGTAAAGGGAATACTGTATCTTGACTTATCCAGCAAGGATTCCTTAAAGGTTAGGTAAAGAGAGGGAACTGTGGCAACTTTTATGTTCTTAGTCTGCCACTTTTCACTACATTTGTGGCCAGCTGCATTTGGGTTTTCTTTCTGATGGCCCACAGCAGCTCTGTACTCAGTAAGTGTTGCAGTGAGTACTGGTATCAGAGAGGCAAGTTCTGAAGGAGAGGTGGTTAGGAAAAAGGTGGAAAAATTAGAGCTAAAGGTGAAATAACCTAACTTTGTTAAAATTGAATGTTTGCAGCTTGTTAGTTCTGTAGTGACATTGGTGATCAATGTGTATTTTTCATTGAAAATGTGATGTCATTAAGTCACCTTTGAATAAACTTGTACTTGAGTAGTGATGTGATTAATTTATTTATGTTTTGATAAATAGATCTTTTATTGAATGGTTTCTGGCTTCAGTCTATGCCTGATGAAATTTGTGATATACTTCTTTTATAGACACATGATCTGAATCATATGTTTTATGTACCAAATAAAGATGTCAAATACCTGTGGCAGGTAGAAACCTTTGGTGTATGCAATCTATGGGAGGGAAAAAGTTGTGTTTCTTTTTCTGAGAGATGGGAGGAGAGAGAATAATAAGAATTAAGTCCTGTCCCATAGCTAACTGAGGTGCATTAGAGAAATGCCTACAAATAAGAATCCTGAGGTAACTTGGGTTTAAAGAAGTAGAATAACAACTGTCATCATTTCATGTGCACTTTGCTGTAACTTAAGTATTTTGTTTCTTTAAATTCTTTCTATTACTACTCCTCATATTATTGCTAGAGAATTAGGAATTCTTTTATTTTTCAATTTATGCTTCTTGTATTGGTGAAGTTATAGTACACTGAGTGCGATCACCGTGCAAACAGTAGAAGTAAAGGGACAAGAATAGGGTGTCATTGATTAACCCAGGCATACTAAGGGTGTGCATAAGGAAATAATCCTATCTTTTATTTAAAAAAAAGAAAAAGTGTGAATTTTATTTTTAAAATATAGAGCATTTCTGAAGAATACTGGCAAGTATCCATTTTTTAAACAGAGGACATATATAGCAGTTATTGTGCACTCTTCTCGTATTAGGGTAAGTAATTTAATGAGGAGATTGGGGAAAGTATGTAGGGGCATTTAAGAAATCTAGGTGTCATGCTGTACAATGTGTTCTTTGTGTTTTACAGAAAATTCTTTGCCAAAACCAAAATTACCTGAGGACAGTGTTATTTCACCGTACAATATAAATCCAAGCTACCCAGGGCTTGCCACAGGAAATGGACTATCAGACTCACCAGCAGGGTCGAAGGATCATGGGAATGTACCGATTATTGTCCCATTAATTCCACCACCTTTCATAAAGCCACCAGCAGGTAAATCCTAATGAACGTTTATAAATGGTTACTGTCATTGACACGTCCTGAGATTGCTAGATCATGGTGTCTTAGTGATGGAGCTAATTTTAAAGTGTTTAAAAGCAGTCACAGAGAACTTCAAAACAGAGTGGGAGAGTGACTTTATTTGTTAGTATTCTTGAAAAACTTCTGCAAGTGCAGTGACAACAGACTTGTGCTGCTTGTGACTCTCAGCACGCTGGATTATACTCTCAGCACTTCAAAAACATCTGCTTTTTAGAAAGAAAAAAGATTTTGTTCTGATGAATGAAGGCTTTAAATAAGTTAATGGAAGATGATTAAATTAAAAATAGGCTCCATGAAAGAAACAGTGGAATAGTCAAAGCCATCAACTCAGTATCATGTCTTTATATTAGGTTAACAAGCTCATCCTGGGAAAACTGTCTCTTGACTGTTACTGAAATATCTGACCGTTGTCTCTTGAGAGTTTAATACGATCATGACTACCAGAAGACTGCACTGACATGTTTTACATTTTCATTAGATTGTTATCAGAAGTGATTTTATAACATGCCATTCCTGAGTTTGCATGAAAAATGATGTATTCCACACTGCATGCTGCTTACCATAATCTGTGAAAGGAACTCTTAACAGGTACACCATGGTGATTAACTGCTGTGTTATTGTTTACTGCTGTACACAGTGTGATAATTGGTAGATTTAGGAGCAGGCTCAGTCCTGCTCCCATGGATGTCCCTGGGTGTTGCTATGGGTTCTCTTGGGTGACCGAGGCACCAAGGAGCACAGGGTGACTTGCAGTACCTACCAAAAAGCAGTAGCTATCTGTGTGGAGGGAGACAGTTGGCTAAAGAGTCCCCACCAGGTGTGAGGATGCTCCTGCAGAGGCAGAACAACTTGCAGGATCTGGTCCCAGGTGTGAGATGGTCACCTCTGCCCTTTGTTGCATTGACTAAAGGTAACTATAAAATACCAATTGGTCCAAGAAAGCATTTGCCTGCTGACAGTCATGGGATAGACTACAGTTGCTCCTCCCAACTTATTTTTAGGCCATTGACTTTTATCTCTAAAAGAAGTATACTAATATGCTATGAATAATTTTCAGATGTTACTCAATATGCATTCTTTGCCAAAGACTTTTCATCTATTTTATATGATATTTGCTAATTACCAAAGCTATTTGGGCCCATTCCTGCAGCCTTTACACAGCTAAAGATCTCGGGCCATATGGGCTGGATCCTCAGCTGTTGTTGATTTGGCCCTAAAGCTTTAATCAAGGGCTTGTGCCATCCCAAGCTATTTTATCCTCCAATCTGAGTCACGAAAGAATCCGGGATGCTGAATTTGTGGTATGTGAACACAGGGCTATAATATGCATTGTGCAAACTGCCACAGTTGCTGGATTTTTATGATATCAAACAAGCAGGAGGAGATGGAGCTGTGAAGTAGAAAAACAAATTACCGCAACAGTAGTTAAATGGGCACAGGGGAACCTCGTCCAAGTCAACTGCCTTCTGTTCTTTGCCTGTCCACCTATCATGTGTGATCCCATATTCAAATGTAATGCTAAAGGTAATGTGCAGAGATGACTATTCATAAGTATTTTCCAACTTTAGGCTTTTTATTCATTAATTCATAATGAATATCATTGTTTTACTTGCATAGGGGATATAAATACATAATCTCTGCCTCCTCTGACTTAATCCTATGATCAGTAATGAGCACTAGATGACCATGATTTATGAGCAGATGAGTGTATTTATCTCACCTTTGTTTTAGAGAGCAAAGTTCGGTAGGACCAGAGAGGGAGCAGACCAACAACCTTTGTGGGATTTGCAATAAGCATCAGTAGTAGTTGTTTTGTTTTATCTTAGGGCGTAGGTGCCCTAGTCATGATCACCCAAAGAGCCTGGCAAGAAACAACTGGTGGATACAAGTAGAAAAGGGAGTACAAAGGAGCCAGGAGAGCCAGCGTGTAAGGCAGTGGTCTTGGCACTGCACTTTGACACCATTATGTGGGCACTACATCAAAGCAGAAAACTTCAGAGTGATACAAAGCCAGACAAGAGTAACTCTGGGGATGTTTTCTCAGAGCCCCTCACAAGCACAGGGGCGACTTTGGAAACAGCATAAAGGTGCTTCTTAGAGTTGAACAGGCAAATGAAAAAGACGTCATTAATTGCTAGAGCTGAAAGTCGACATTTTCAGCATGGGAGAGAGAAGGGCTGTGGCTGACCTGCCACAAGAGTAGAAGCTGCTTACATTTGTTCAGGTTAATAAAGGAAGAAAGGAAACAGCAGGGAGAGGGAGAAAGAGTCCGAGAGAGAGCTTCAAGGTTAAAATGCTGGGCAGAGAAAGGGACTTTTGCTACACATTTTGAGTGGATGCATAGAACAAGGTTACAAGGCAGGCCAGAGAGAAAACCAGGTAGTGCTGCACTGCAGTGACTGGAGTGCTGAGAATTAGGCTGGGTCCAGACTTTGTGGATGGATGGGGAAAGCTTTTATATACTGTACAGGAGAAAAATCTACAAGATTTAAATGTGTCTCAACAGAGAGTGCCTGCAGATGAAAACGGTATTTAAATTGTGAACCTGGAGGACAGGAAAGATGGTGGTGTGGTCTACTGTTATTGAGCAAATAATACGGAGTGAGCACTCAGGGAAAAATTATTAAGACTTAAATTCTTGTTGTATTGGTCTTGATCTGAAGGGTTAGCACCAGTAAAGAAGTGTTAGAGAGACAGGCTGAGGTATTTATTTAGACAGGAGAGCAGTGGTGTGGAGAGGATAAACAGATCCAAGAAACAGTCACAATGAGTTACTAGCTGAATATTTTTGGCAGATAAGATGCTATACAGATAAGAGGCAGAAGGGTAAGAGCGGAGCATGGGGGTTATTCATAGAAGCTTGAAGGGAGAAATGGGAAGGATACCCTGCAATGTACACTGGTGTAACAGTTGCACAAGTAGAAGCAACAATGGAATAAGACAAGAATCAGGAAGCCAAGGGAAACAGGCTTTCCAGGGAGGCAGATTTGATTCTTGGTATCAGAAATTGTTAACAGAAGTAAGAAGGAGGAGGAGGGAATACTGATCCTCAGCTCCGTCTAGGAAGCACTCATTGAAGATTTCAGCAGATAGGTCTTTCTTGAGCATGTTGGAAAACTTAGAACAGTGTCCTGTCTGCATTTGTATTTTGTGTGAACAGGCTAAAACCTTGAAAAGTAACAAAATTACCTTTCCCTCCATGCTTATTTTAGAGGAAAGTGGTGTGAGGGTCTTAGTTTTGGTTTTTGTGTTTTCTTTTTTTTCCTCCTCCTTTTGAAATCCAAACAATTAGGAGCAGTCTGACTAAAATTGTACCTCCAAGCTGTTCAGCTCTCTTTTAGTCAAATGAAATATTAGGTAGAAATGTGGCTATACAATCCAGGAAAACATTAGAGTTCAACCTGACCAGGTGTGAACAGCTTCAGTAAAGACACTTTCTCCTTGCTATACCTGAGAACTACACCTGCAAAAGGCTGAGTTAAATGCCTGGGCACTCCGTGGTGCACTGACTGTCTACAGGCTCGGGTTGTGACTTGTTGGTGCAGGGCACTAAATCCAGTCATGGAAAGCCTCCACAAAAAGGGTGCCACTTACTCAGATCTGGAGGCTATTTGCAAGGGCACCTCCGGGCAGGTAGACCACGCTCAGACAGTGCCCAAATCAAGCGGGACTTTATCAGTCAATGTCAGCCATCTGGCCTGCATCTGAAAGCAAGTAAGTCAGCACAGCCTCCAGGGAGCTGGTGCAATAGTCTCCTTGTGGCTGATAACTGTCCTTCTTGTCCAGCAGGCTGGTAGCTATGTTTACTGCTAGCAGCTGATTCTGAGCGATCTTCAGGGTTAATCTCCAGTGCAACCGTTTGCAACAAGCTGATACAAAAACTGGTTCTGCTTGGTGTTAGAAGATTCTTACGTTCTACACAGCAACATAAGGAAAGTGGGTTTTTTGTTTGTTTGGGGTCTCCCCCCCCCCCTTAAAAATTACATAGAAATAACAAAAAAAAAACACCCCAGAAGTGAAATAGTCAGGAATGACCTAGAAATAGAAACCCTGCCACATCTGTGCAGGGTATGTGGCTGTAGAGTGCAGCATGCAAACATCCTAAGTTATTCTGCAGCCCTTAGTGGTAAATCTGAGAGGGCACTTAGGGTGACTGCCCTTTTGCTCAGACAGGTTTGAACGGCTGTTGTTACATGGGATGAAGGAAGGCTAAAATCAAGATTAGTCAAAGAAGAATGCAAACAATTCTTTCAGTGCAGGTGAGAACTTGCTGCCTCCTTCCGCTGGCACCTGCAGCACCTGCTGGAGGCTATGTATGGTGTCTCAGTTTCCCCAATTTTTAAAGAGTGCTCTTTGGTTTACTTTCTCTTGTGATCCCCATGGCAGTGCTTCGGTAGGGGAGGTACCTGCTGGTTGGTCTACCCTTTGAGCGTGGTGTTGGCAACTCTTCCCTTTCTTGCCTTGTGTGCGTACAAGTGAAGCATTGGGTGCATCTGCTGTTCTAAGCATCCCACACAAGAACCAGCTCCCGGCCATGATGCACTGTGAGGGAACATCACTGTCTAGGGATGAGGTGGAAGAGGAGGTAGAGAGAATGATGGCATTCAGTTGACTGAGATTTCTACAGGGAAAGGAACGCAAGGGAAAAATAATGCTCCTTCCCAGGGTTTTCATGAGATAATGAGTATTTGGGAAATAGGATTAAAATCCTTCAACCTGCAGATCAGAGTCTCTACATAATATTTGCTTCAGTGATTTGCAAATGATAATGTTCGGGGTCATACCAAAAGTTACCAGAAACTTGTGAAAATGAAGGAGGAATGGGCTGGAGGAACTACATCTGTTGAAGGGGAAGCAGAAGCATTTCCAGTGCTGACTACCTTGTAAAATAGGCCTGTGACCTAAGTTGGCAAGTAAATGTTATATTTAAATACTAAAGCAAGTAACTAGTA